TCGCTACCTTTTAATTTCTGGCAAAGCGTAGACCTGACAAAAAGACGCAGAAAACAAGCATTCTCTCTAACAAATTGGAGTAAAAATCCAATATAATATGACTTTTACCCACTGTGCACTTGTAATTCGGAAAACATTTCTAGCGCTGCATTAAAATGCGCGAAAAAAAATTAGAAAAAAAGTGCAAAAGAAAACACAAAGAAAGGCCAAATGCTTAGATGAATACCAGTTTCAATGAATGAATGAAAGTGAATTTCTTCTCACGAAAATCATAATTACCGACTTTAGTGGCGATTATGCCGCAGCTAAATGCTGCTAAACGGGCTGTAATTACCACCGTCACAACGGAATGGCATGGAATTTGCGTAGAAACGCCAGCGAGTGCAATCAAAAAACATTTCGAACAAAACAAAAGTGAAGGAAAAAAGCGCAATAACCACAAGTATGGCAAATTGGCGAGCACTTGAACTTTGCGTTTATTACACGGCCAGCGCTAAGGCAAAGTAAAAATGCAACAACAAAAAGAAAAACACTTAAAAAATAGCCAACTGAAAATAACAGTGAAAACACTGACACTTCGGCCGCAACTTAATATTATTTAAATATGCGTGCGCATGTGTGTGTATGTGTAAGCAAATTTATTTTTATACATATGCATGTATGTAACAGCGGCGGCACATAAACAACGCCACGCTTCCGCCGCAGCTACAAAGCAAGCGCGCAACGCTCACCTGACCGCCCACCAAGCATTCGCAAAGCGCAGCGCCGTGCAGAATGAAATCGAAAGCGTTTATGTGCTTTTTTGTTTGTGTGTTGTTGTTGTTATTATTATTATTTACTTTTCATGCCGCAAATTTGTGCTATAATTGCAATTTTTTAATGGGAAATGAACACGCATGTAAGTTTTCCCCCCTCTTACGCCTCCACACACCTTTCAACGCCAACTCGCTTGTCTTGCCTACCCTTTTGTTCAAACATGTCTTCGGTAAGTGTTATAGGAGCCGGTCTATAAATCACCTTCGCCGCGACTGCCATTTGGGTGTATTGAACTCGCCAGCGCGAATATGTTTTGCCGCTGCTTCTTCTTCTGCGTCGTCTTTTGTTTTTGTTTTGTGTCATCTTGAATTAAATATTATAATTGTTAATTTGATCGGTTGGAATTTATTGGGAACATCGAAAAATTACAGCTACACTGTGTTGCAGTTGAGCAACGGTATATTAGCGCTCTAATTTGCTACCTTCCTTATATTCTTTAAGATTTCTGTTTTTGGAACATGAGCTTTATGTTTTTGTATGTTCTGAGGTTAAGTCTTTTGGTAGATAAACAAAAAAACAAAAGGAACAAAAGGAATAACCAATTGGAGATTGGAGATGGGTTGTGGAGTATAGTTCCTTTTCGAGTAAGAAGACTGACTCACATAAATATTAACTCTTCCACCACTTGTACAAAATACGGAAACTAATATGTGTAGACACTTGATTTATAGCTGTTATGGAGTTACTTTGAGGTTGACTTAAGGGTACACCAAAAGTTGAGGATTCCAGACGTTCTTTATTGTGGAACAAACGACATAATATATAAGTCTAAAATAAATTAAGGTTTCGCGATCTGGAGAACCTACTTGTATTATATCTGTAACTTACCACATAATAAGAAAACTCCCATTAAAACCATGAACACGAACAACCCAACCGAGGTTGAGAAGAAGTCCACTAAGTAGTTTGGTACTAAATCTAGACAGGGCTTTTTTTAATCTTACATGGGGTTGCTCACGAGATCGAGATCATTGATCTAAAAACTAGGTCGTTTAGGTTTTAACTCTTCACAGATGCAGTTTTTATAGCATAAAAGAGGATAGAAAATGTATACCTTGATTTTGATAGACTAGTTTGCATATCTGCTATATGCTATTCGTTGTTCGATATCGGCTTGTAGAGAGAAGAACTTGTGCGACATTTAAGATCGATATCTCAAAAACTGAAAGACTAGTTTGCGTATATAAAGACGGACAGGTACACAGACGGACATTTTAAAATCGACTCATTTTCTCACTCTAATCTGATATATATATATATATATGTATATCTATATATTTTATAGGGTCTCCGACGTTTCCTTCTGGATGTTACTAACTGCGCGGCAAAACCTTTTCGGTAAAATAAAATGTTTAATCATTACCTGTAGAAATTGTTACGTAAATCAATTATATTTAAGAAAAAAAAAATTATATATGTATGTAAGTGCATACGTATGTACACACACACTGATAAACATTTATATAAAACGGTACATACAAGTATGTAACTGTTGTGTGCGCCAAATAGCTTTAGTAATTTTTAACTTTAACGAAATGCGCTCAAAAATTGCATTAAACTTACTCATATTAATTTATGCAAAATAATGAAATTACGTCGTAAACTTAGAAGTTTCCGTTCACTCAACTTTAACCCTCTTCATAATTGAAGTCACCTGGTTAAGACACATTCGTCACATTGACCTTGTAACTTTGATCTCTTTATGCAGATATCCTTGGGGAAAAAAGTAATTGAATGTTAATGACCCCTGTGTTTGAGTATATGTGTAGGGGGTGTAGGTATGTACAACATATAATTCATTTGTAGATAAATAGCAAGACTATTATAAGGGGTAAGAATGTCTCACATCTAAATAATGAATATTTTCTGTAAAAGAATATTTATTAATAATTAAAATTATGTATAAACTAATAATATTTTGAGAGAAAAATAGTGTTAAAGGCTGAAAATCGCAATTTTTTTATTAAAACTTTCTTTTTATTGGTTAAGCCAGTCTATAATTTTCAAAAAGTTGTTTTTGTAACTTAAAGTACACTTTAGAATCTTAAAAATATTACATAATTGGTAGAATAGAGAAAACAATTTGTTTCCCTGTCAAATGCGCTGTAGTGTCGAAGCGTTCGGAGACTATCACATATATCCATTCTAAATTTTAACTTAACTTCACAGTAACTTTATCTATTTAGTACACTAAGTATGTACGTTTTGCTTGTAATATTGAGCTATTTTCATAAACAATTTCCTAGTAATTTTTTGATCAAAAATTTAACCCTCTTTTTAAAAGTCTGTCATTTTGTAAAAATTTATGTAATGCTAGAAACGTACGTACGGGTACTTTAAGCAAGTCTTATATATATTATATAGAATAAGAGCTCGTTTTTCACTTTGTTTCAGAGCATGAGTTCCTAAAATCACGGTCTCTCGCAGCTGCCTACTTGAAAAATGCAATACCGAAGATTGACCTTTTAGCCGCCATTTTTTTTTTATCAAGTTGTCAATACAAAATTTTTTTATACATTTTTAATAAAGCCTAAAAATTCGATTTTTTTTTACTCACCGAATAATATGTCAAAGTTAGGCCTTTTTTAAAGCTCTAGACTGACCAATTTCCTTAAGAGGTAGACTTCTTCGCAATGAACTTCCGTTAAAAAATTGTTAACTTAATATTTATACAAGTAGTCACAATTATGACTAGACAATAGCTCTTTTGAATATTTGAAAGTCTACAAAATGACAGCTATTTAAAAAAATGCATTTTTTGACCATATTTTCCAAGCTTAAAAAGACCGTAAAAATCGCAAATAAATTTTTATAAAAAAAATCGTGATTAAATATAGCAAGTTAGTTTTTGAATCAATAATCATTTACAGATTTCGAATATATTTTATAGTTATTAGAATACTGCCAAAACTTAAACGAAATTACGAATTTTAATAAAATGCGTTTAAAGCTGACTGAGCAGCGTTAATAGTCAGCGTGGGGCCGGGATTATAGCTCGATGTCTCGTGAACCAACATGCTTTCGATCAAATGCCATAAAGCAAGTTTCTAGTTACGTCTATCTTAAATAAATATATGCAAAAAAAAATGCATACTCCTTTAAGCAAAAACAACTATAACTACTAATATATAAGATAATAAAATACTAATTATAACTACTATTAAATAAGGTAATAAAATACTAACAAGTGATTAAAAGACGATTGTCTGGATAGATCTTTTTTCCCACTTTGACTCAGAAATTTTCCAAAAACCTACTTTCGCCTTCGAATATTAAAAAAAATTAGTTATTAACGCTGAGATACATGAAGTAAATTTTTTTTTATTTTAAACAACAGTTCATCTTGCAAAATGTAAGAATCAACAACTAACGTAATTTGCACAACGATTTCTTTAAAAAAAAAAATATTTTCTTTCATTTTCCATTTTCTCAGCAACAAAACAAGAGACACTGCCCTCTTAATCCGCAGCGAAGGGCATTACCATCCTCCATTTCCTGTCGCGGCCACGTCATTGGTGTTGCTGCTGTCTCGCTTCGGCCCATTGGCTACGTGTCGCAGCGCAGCATTCTAACAGCTATGCTGCTCCTGCACTACTTAATGCCCAAACACAAGGCAAAATGAAAATTTTCCATCTTGCACCATCTCCACGCAGTGGAGACAAAAGCAAATACACGCAAATAGACCAAACAGCGAACGCACCGCGGTTCGTACCACACACACTTATATATATAAATATATGCAAGTAGGCACAACAATCTTCGAACTGCGTTTGTGCGCGTCCAATATAGGCTTTCTCACATCTGCTGTGCCATTGCTGCTGCTGGTGCTGCTCCTCACAGCGCACCCAATCCCTGTAGCGCACACTCCACCGCGTGATGGCATCGCCGAAAGTTAATCCTATTTTCTCTACGTCGCGCTCACACAACAAAGCTCATGAGCTCCAATGATGGCTGCTTGTGATAGCAACGCTCACACACACACACACACATGCATACCAGTGAATGTATCATTTCCCCTTCCGTGCTGAGCTCGCATCGCGCCAACGCTGCCGGCGCGCCAGCCTGCGAGTAACACTCAGTTTCCTTAGTTTTGAGAGCAGCAGTTTATCTACAACGCCTCATCCAACTAACACAAGCTAACGCAAGGCATATATATGTATGTGTGTGGGCTGGTGCGCTGGCCAACGTAGATAATTTGGCTTGTTTTGCTCCCTTTTTCCGATTATTTCTTTGCTTGCGCGCGCTCTCTTCACATAAGCGCATGCATGTATTTGTGTGTTTGTATGTGTGCGTGCCGTATGCTCTGCAGCTCTGCGCGCCAGTGCTAGATTCAAACCAGCTACCAGTCATACTCAACAGTTCAACTGGGGTTGGACGCCGACAGCAGTTCACTCTGGACTTGGTGCGGTTGATTGTTGTTGCTCTTGTAGTGATGTTGCGCTTGCTGTTATTGCTTGCTCACTACTGCTGCTACTCTCAATTGGGATTAGTTGGATTTGTTTGTGTGCTGCTGTTGAAAGAGCTAGTCGTCCCCCCCCTGTGCTTGCTGCCGCTCAGTCACAGACGCGCTGCCGCAATTCATCCACCTCAGCCATGCGCTCAGCAGCACGCCAACTCGCTTTTACGATTTTCTTTAAATACTACTCCGTGGATGGGCTCTCGCAACAGTCGTCTTTTATCTGGCCAACGGTTAAGGAAGTATTGCTTGCGCACTCTGTGATCGACCGTCGGATGCATTTACGAACTTGTTGTTTAACCACCTAACGAAATAATACCTAAATTGCAGCCACAACAATAACAAAGTGTGTTACAAAAAAAATGTTAACCAATTTTTGGTATACAATATATATAACAACAGCAGCAAAGTGTGAAAGATAAGCAAACATATTGCTTTGGCTGCCTTCAATTGCGTCTCCGGCTTACTCCACGCGCGCCCATCTCTTGTGCTTGTGTGTAACGTCTTTTTGTTAGTGTTTTTTTGTATGAAATTTATCGTCTTGCAGCCAGCCTTCATTGCGTGCGCGACGCACTGCGCTGCTCTTAGCTGGCGCTGCTCTGCTCTGCACTGAAGCGCATTCTGTTGAGCTGAGCGCTACTTCAATCCAACTCATCGCGCGTCGAATATATCATTCCGTGTGCGCCCGTGAACGTGGTTACAACCACAGCTCGAAATATCGGGTTCGCTCATCAGTCAGCTTCAGTTTAAGTTCAGTGGCATGAAATTTGAAGTGAAGTGGCCAAAATAAATGAAAGAAGCGGAAGCATATTAGAACTTCAATAAAAATATAAAAAAAAAACAATATTTATTAAGTGCTGTGGATGCTCACAAATGAATAGAAGAAATTTCTAAAAATACGGCAAATAAGACTACGAATTAAATTATTTTAAGACAAAATATTTTTTTTTTAATTTCAAAATTTGTTTATATAAACTGAAAGTGTTTATCAGCAACTTGTGCGCCGATGCTGCAATAAAATAACAGTTACCAAAACAAATAAATTAAAAAAAAAAATTAAAACTAAGAACAAAAATATTAAATTAAAAATTGAGATTGCATATTTTATCAAAAAAATGTATAAATACACTGAAATTTGAGTAAATGAAAGTGAAGTTGTGAAACGACCGAACAAAGGATAACCAAACAATTGCGAGCTGCTGAAACAGCTAAAAATACACGCTAACTATTAGTCAAGAAAATCTATAAGAATAATCAAAAGCATAGAAAAACGCAAAATATTTAGTGTGATTTAGCGAAATTTTAAGTGTGAAACTAAAATCGAACAAAAATATTTTTATTTACATCAAACACGCTGGATTAAAATCTGCAATGCAATTTAAAGCTAAGCGATCAAAAAGGTAATTATAAATTTTTTTTTTTTTAATTACTAATAAAACTCACAAAAAAAATATTTTATTTTATTTCTTTAAGTAGCACTCACAAATTAAACTAAGTATACACATATTGTATATGGTATTTAGATTAAAAAATTACAATAAATAGGGATATAGTTATCTCTGAAATAACGGTAAAATATTGACAATTCTAAATTGCAAGAAAATATATTATTTTTTATCTCGAAAACCCCTTAAAGTAATTAAAGCACGAAAATATTTTAAAAACAATGTAAACTTTACAATTTTATAATAAAATTTAATCAAAATATTGAAATTGAATTGAGTATAATCTAGAGAAGAATTTTTTTCTATAATGCTCCAAAACTGCAAAATCTCTTAAATTGTTCTAAACCTTTTTAAATTAGTAAATACAATGTTACAATTTTTAGAGCTTATTTTGGCGTTTTTTATGTTCTCTGTATAATATTTTGTATAATTTTAAAGCTTAGTCCCCATTTTCTCTCAAAGTTTGATGCTAATAATAAATATTTTGTAATGAGTTCAAAAGCCTTCTAAATATCGTCAATTAAAATTTCTTTCTACTAAAAATTTTGAAAAACTCCATTAAAAAAATTGTATAAGCAGTATACATATTTAAACATTTTAGCTAAGGTTTTCATTATATAAATATATTTTAATTTGTTAACTAATTTTTTATTATGCTGTTTTATAACTTATTAGCTTTGATTTTTAATATATTATAATATTTTTTGGCAAAATAAATTTTTTATTATTTTATAAAATGTCGCAATAACTTGTTCGTTTTGTTTATTTTTTAAGCAAAAAAATTTTTTATATGTTTCTAAAAAAGAGTTTGTCAATTTTATTTTTTTTGAAAAAAAAATATAATACCAAATTTAAAACAAAATTTTTGAGGTATGCGTTTAATATACCCGAAAGCTATATAGAAATATGTATGTACCATATATCAACGCATATTAAAATATTAATTTTGTTTCGAAATTATTTTTAATAGCAACAATGATGGAAACAGCAGAAAACGCATACAAAAATTTAACAATTGATTGAATCAGAATTAGATAAGGTTTTAAATAAATTATATATAATATATAATTGTTTTATATTTTATTTTTTTTATCTGTTTTTTCATTTCATGGTTCATAAACTTATAAAGGTCCATTTCAAATCAGTTCTTAATTTTTGATTTCATTATTTTTCTTTTATTGCGGCAAAGTATTTACTCTGTATTTCTTTTCAACGCAAAGGTAATATAATATATATAATTAAACCCTTTTTTTAAAAAACACATGCTAACTTCTAATAAGATCACTATGATTTCATACATAAAAGTTCCACTTTTCAGTGCATATGTATGTATATAGATACAACTGTTTACGCTGCTCAAATCGGCTTTAGCTATGTACTTGTTAATATAATAAAAACAACTATATTGGTATGTGAATATATATATATGTATATATAAATTTATTGCATTCGAATCCCTACTAGCCTTAGATACTCGCTTGTAACCATCATACGCACAAGTATATTTGCATGTATGTATGTATGTATATAAAGCAATAAGATTTCGATTTGTGTTTATGACATGTTCATAAAATTGCATCCGCCCAGCGGCCATTGCGAGATTTTACCTGCATATAAGTATTTATGTATAGTTTATAGGTATATATATCTATATATGTACTTTCATTTACGCATTCATAATCGCGCTTACAATAGTATTTCGGCAGGGGAATCAATATACGTAATTAGTTCTAATCTAATTTATTTTACCTTGCACATGACTCAGCGCTCCACTTTTTCAACCAAAGTTATAATCTTAGCTGCATATATACATACATACGTTTGTAAATGCCCATACAGTCATATGTTGATAGATAAGAATTTGCTTAGGTATATGTAAATCAATGAAGGCTGATCAGCAATATTGACGAGGCAAAACAAAAATCGCATATAGATATGTACGCTTATAAGAATTGGACATATCTGGATAATACATATAGACATTTACAAGTGAAGTATATAGTATAAGTGTCTGAATCATTTAGAACTCATTATAAATTGTCAATTTGGGAAGTTCCAAAGTAAAATGGTAGGTGAAAATGTTTCGGTTTTACCGTCGGGAAATTAGTTTAAGCCCGTACACTCTCAACAAGTGATATCAAAAGTATTTATTTAGGTTAAATATGCCCTAGGGTATATGAAGTTAGCCACGAAGTTTATAACACCCAGAAGAAGACGTCAGAGATCCTATAAAATATATACATACATACTCGTATGTACATATGTATGTATGTATTTAAGCGACCAACGTGACGAGCTGAGTCGATTAAGCCAAGTTCGCCTGTCTGAATCGATCTAAAGTTGTGCACACGTCCTTTTCTCCTTTCATATTTATTCTTTTTGTTTTTGATATAAATTTTTTTTTTGTATTTTTTTCATCTTGACATCACTTTAACTTCCAAAAAAATTTTTTTTTTATTTATTTCAAGCTCAATTATGTTGAATTTTATTACGTTTTGATTGCATACACATACACCTTTACACGTTATCTAAATAATATATATTGTATATATATATATTCATCAGTCCATCTAAATTGTTTTCCCATCCATATCATTTTATTTCATCCTATCTAAGTTCAATAATACAAAATATTTTCTAATTGTTTATTACTATTCAACCACCTGCCTATACGTACATACATATGTATGTATGTAGTCATAAATATAGATATGTACATGCGCTACTACACTTATACAGCACGAAAAGTAGCCAACAAGATAACATTCATAGGCAAGCAGCGCTCTCTCTTGTCTAATCACATGGTACATATGTATGTATGTACACATGTAATAGCTACCCGATCGAATTCGTGGCATTCGTAGATTTCAAACTTGATATTTATTTGTTGCTACACACACGTACATATGTATATCGACTAGTGTGTGTGTGTGAATATATGTACATCTGTAAACAGAAATACAAAACGAAGACGTCGCAGAAGACATTACCGTTGCGACGGCTGTCGATGATGGCCAATGGCTGCACAGCCCCAACGATTCGAATGTTCGTTTGTTTGCCTGTTTGTTTTTACGACGGTTGTTAGAGGGCTTATTGTGACATATTTTTGTGCATACATATATACATTTGTATAAATGTATGCTGTAGTTCATGTTGACATGTGTATTACAGTTAAAACATTTGTAGCGGTATGAATGCAATACTTACTTATGTATATATGTATGTACATACATAACGTATATTTATATATGTACATGTCTCTATATACTATATACATACATATATATTTTTTACATACAATACCGTTATTTGACTTTTATAGGTAATTTTATATTAGATTTTTCTCTACGATAGATACATAATTCTGCACATTTTTTATTGAATCTTCGTAACGGCCATATTTAGTACCTATGTACATATGTATGTTATCATAGATTTTTGTAAATGAAGATAAAGCTTAAAAATTGTAAAAATTATTTTTATATGATAATCACGACTTACTTGGATGCATTAAGAGCGCCTTCGCCTGTTTGTATGTTTTAATAACTATTAATAGGAATCTCATTAATACGAAATATGCACTTTTTAGTTTTATTTTTTAATTATTTTTTGTATTTACAGTTATATTTTTATTTTTAAACCCTAAGCAGAGTATATTAAGTTAATACATATGTATATTGTAAATGATTAGCATGTCAAGGTGAGTCGATTTAGCCATGTCCGTCTGTCTGTATGTCAGTATGTATACCATATACTACCAAATATACTATGTACGCGAACAACTCCCTTAATTTTTGAGATATCGTTATAAAATTTTGCACACATCCTTTTCTTGCCAATAAGCTACCTGTTTGTCGGAAACGGTGATATCAGACCACTATAGCATAAAGCTGCCATAAAAACTGACTTTTAAAAATCCAGTTCTTGTATAGAAAACTTTGTTATTTGACAAGAGATCTTCATAGAATTTGACGTAGATTATCATCCAAAGCAACGCCACAATTTACGAACAAATTGTTCAGACCAGTTCAACTGCCATACAAACTCATAGATCAAACTCAAGTCCTTGTATGGAAAAATTTTATGTTTGACAAGTTAAATTCACGAAATTTTGCATAGACGATTATATAAGACAGCGCTGTAATCTCCTAATAAATTATTCAGATCGGACCACTATAGCATATAGCTGCCATACAAACTAATCTATCAAAATCAATTTGCTAAATATCTCTTTTAGGCTTATATGCTATAAACAATGCACTTGTGAAGGGTATTATAGTTTCGGTACAGATTTTTTAGTTTTTACTTTCAATTATAATTTTATTTAGTTTTTTTTTTACATAAATAATTTGTTATTGAAATCTGCAATCTATGAATCAGAAAATGCTTTTTCAGTAAAGTATGATTAAGATTATTTATAAAAATAAAATAAAGAACCAACAGATTTTTCTCTGCGAAACCCAGAAATTAAAAGCTTGGCAGACAGCATATAAATATTTGCGGTTTTATTATACAATACTAAAAGGCGATAAAGCCAGTATATATTATATTTTACTATGTCAAAATTGCATAATGGGAAAACCTACATGCACACATACATATATGCAATAAATACATACAATACATACACATATACATATATAATAAATACATATACGAAATACATACATACATATATATAGAGTACATACATACATATAATATATATACAATACATACATACATATATATACAATATATAAATATTTACAACTTCGCTACTTTGTTAGCCGGCACTTGTCAGCTTATTTTAGATATTTTCATCCCAACGCACACAGATTGAAGAATCTAATCACGTTACCGTTTTATTTATGCTCTCATTTCAGATTTATTTCAGTCTCGTCTCGCATATCTCAGTTTCTCAACCAAATATTTAAACAAACAAAAAGCAACTAAAGAAATTCTGCTGCAGCAACGAACCAACCAATCAACTAACCAACGGCACGTGCCTGCATATAACGCACACACACACATCTAAACATAAACTAATCATATCGAATAAGAACAACGAAATGCTCGCCACAGCAGCCGCCAGCACACAACCAGCATTGGATGCCATACAAACGAGCGTCACCAAGATGGAGCGACGTGACTCAACGACGTCGGAATCATCGTTGGAGCACTTGGATTTGGGACGCACACCAAAGAAGCTCAGCGCACACTCATCGGCCACATCTACGCCGCATACAAACACCAACATTAGCAACATAAACAATAACAGAGCCAACAGCAACGATGTGCATGCAAAAGATGCCAACAATACAAATGCCACAACTGCAACTGTTGCCTGTGGTAGCAACAAAACATTGCTACCACACCAGCAGCGACACATCAACGACTCCGATGAGGCGAATGATTATGACGATGATGACGAGGAGTCGCCCGACGAACAGTGCATTGGCAAACAGAATACGCTCAATTCGAGATCACAGCGTCACCATAAGCGTCGCAGCACAGCGCCACGTCTAGACAAACGGACCAGTGTACATTTGGAATTCAATGCGGACGATCCCAATTCGCTGCGCAAGAAGTTTCGTTTTAATCGCAGCAACTCTGCGTCCGAACAAATGTCCAGCAATAATGAGTCTGGCTTCGTGGACGCCAGCTGTAGTAGTCATTATCTGAATGCCTCGGCAGTGTCATTGGCGGCGGCAGCAGCGGTGGCAGCAGCAGCAGCGACGGCGACGACGACAGCTGCAATTAACATGACGCCGTCACTACTGCATAGCACAATGTCTGCATCAGCGTCGGCATCGGGCTCAGCTTCGGTTTCGGCGACAGGCTCGCACAGTTCGTCGTCGGCCGCTAGTTCGCCGCGTGGCTGTGGCGCTGGTTTGGCTGCTTCCTCCGCTTCGGTGTCGAGTCCCGAATCGGGTATAGGCGATAGGGAACGCGAGGACATGAAATTCGTGTGCACCATCTGCGATGTGGTGTCGGCGACGCGACACGAATTCACAAATCATATACGCTGCCACAATTACGCCTCCGGGGATACGGAGAACTACACATGTGCTATTTGCTCTAAGGTAAGTGCGGTTTGAGGGGTAATAATTATGAAAAAAGAGTTTATAGAAAAGGAATAATTATTAAGAGCTTTTAAAATAGGTTAGTTGCTTATGTAGGGGCGGTTCAATTAACAAAAAGGAGCATTGAAGATTTCCGCTATTCGAAAGTGTTTTCATTTCAGCGGATAAGGCTTCAAATGACTCTTCTGACATGGTTTTCTGAAGAGCCTTCGCAATTAGAATCAGTATCTTTGATACTTCTCTGCCGTCCTAGCTGTAAACACGAGCGCTCAATTTGATTTAAGATAACTTGGGTTTCTACAACATCTCGGGTTAATTTGGAACCTTCAAGAGCTAGTAGAAAACCATTAATCTTCTCTTCCTCCTTAAATTAATATTTCTAAATTCCCAAAATTTGTAAACCTCTTAGTAACATTAAACAATAGAACTACATTTGTTTTAGGATAACTAGGAGTCCCTAAAAGCCTCGGGTCAATTTCGTAACTTCAAAGCTCTCTAAAAGCTAGTAGAAAATCGTAAGGAATGGAGAATCGTCTCCTTATATTTTCATTATTATTTCTGAATTCGGAAAATTTATAAAGCGGTAGAGAATTATAACAAACTATGAAGCACTTGAACGAATTAACGTGTACATCATGCTTGTTATTTGACATATAGCACAAATTTTTGTTGCAACGAACATATTTTCTAATGTAACCATTTACTAATTATACAATTATTTAAATTTCTCTTTCCCTTCTGTCATTTCTCTTCCGCTCTGCTCTCTGTTTAGGTACTCTCCTCGGCCTCCTCACTGGATCGGCATGTGTTGGTGCACACGGGCGAACGTCCATTCAATTGCAAATATTGTCACCTCACCTTCACCACCAACGGCAACATGCACCGGCACATGCGCACACACAAGCAGCATCAGCACAATCATCATCATCGCCGCAACTCGAATGGAACAAAGCAAAGTAGTCACAGTCACAACAATAACAATAACAGTGCCGCCGGTATGCCCACCAACAGTGGCGGAACCGACGCTTTCGCCTCAGCCACCAACACTTATGCGCAATTAAGTAATGGCTTGATTGGTGAAGGTGTCAAAACAGCATCAGCCGAGGCCGTAACGATGACGAACGATGCCAGTACGGCCGCCACTGCTCAAACGGGTAGTGGCGCCGCCGCCGCCATCGGTGCAGGTGTTAATGGTAAACGCTTGCACAGTAGCGGTGTAGAAAGTTGCGAAAGTGACGGCGGTTGCTCAACAGACTCCTCATCAAGTGCCATCAGCCATAGCTCAAATAATAATCATAGCAACAAAAACAATAATAGCGACAATATCAACAACAATGCCACAAATAATTGCAATAACAATATGAACGCGAAGCGTAATCGTTTAGGTAATTTTAAGCGTAAACTTAGTGAACAACATGACGAAGGCAACGCGGATGACGACGCCGACCTGACAACGATGACGGCGACGAAGCGACGCGTGAAGACCACCATAAACAATAATAATATAATCGGCGAGGATGTGGAAGAAATTGATGCGCGCATGGGCACTCATACTAATGACAGCGCCATGGTAATCAACAAAACCAGCGCATCCTCTTCGGCATCGGCCATGTCGGCGGAGGAACGCGATGTCGGCGAAGATGACGATGAGGACGTTGAGCAGAAGCCGTATTTCGCCTGTCCCGTCTGTCCGGTGTGCAATACGGGTGACTTTGCCGATACACGCGCCTTGGACAACCATTTGGACAGCGAGCACTCGGACATACCCGCCAAGTGCCGACACTGCGAGGTAGTCTTTCGCACACACCGCCAACTGAGCTTGCATCCGTGCACGCAGCGCTTGCTCGGCAGCCGGCAGATGCCGCTGGTGGAGTGCGTGAAATGTGATCAGAGCTTTGAGAATGGTGACGCTTTGGAGTTGCATGCGCGCGACTGCCGAACTAACGAGTTGAGACATGCGCGCCGTAGTCGCAGCCTGAGCGATAGCTTTACAGCAACGCCTCTGACGGAAGCCGAAATTGAGGATAAGACGAACCAAATACGCGATAATTTCTTGCGTCAGTTATATATGCAAAGTCAAAAGCCATTTTGCGCGCAGAGTTTGATCTCGCTGCCCTCGCCGCAGCACTCAGCACACGACGAAGTGGATTCGGCGAATGTAAGCAATACCGATATCAAAATCGAGACAGCTGACACTGAGCCAACAGATCAATTGACAAGTAATTTACTATCACAACAGTCGCACGACTCAAAAGATCTTGCCGATATACAATCGATACTCAACATGACTTCGTCGTCGTCAACATCCAATTTTTTGAAGAACTTTGAGCAATCGGTGAACACTCCATCCAGCAATTATAGCTTGGACAAAGATGAGGAGGAGGCGCAAGATGTCTTCACATCTGAGTTTCGTAAAATGAAATTGCGCGGCGAGTTTCCATGCAAGCTCTGCACGGCCGTCTTTCCGAATTTGCGTGCGCTAAAGGGTCATAATCGTGTACATTTGAGCGCCGTCGGCCCAGTTGGTCCGTTCCGTTGCAATATGTGCCCTTACTCGATATGCGATAAGGCTGCGCTGGTGCGACACATGCGTACACATAATGGCGATCGGCCTTACGAATGTGCTGAGTGCAATTATGCTTTCACCACGAAGGCTAACTGCGAACGTCACTTGCGTAATAGACATGCGAAGACTACACGCGATGAGGTAAAACGTGCCATTATATACCATCCATCCGAAGACTCAACTTGCGATGATCCCGCCAAGAAGCTGCATATGTTCTCTTCGCCCGATTTCGATGACGATATGGAGTTGCAATATCAACAACATCATCCCAAAGATCGCTCGACGCCCGTGTCGCATCTTAAAGAAATCTTAACCGCTGAGAGTCCACTTGCCAAACCGATAAAGATACAGGTTAAGAGTTTAGAGCAATTGTTGGACAAGTCAACCGGTTCGGTCGGTAGCTACAATGACTCGTTTGAAGAACGTACACCAGCGACGTCCAGCTTGCAACAAGGCGAGGCTGCGCCCATCGATTTGAGTATGGATGTTTTGGATCTTAGCAAGAAACCCACAGCTAAGTCCGTCGAAAAAGAGGGCATTGCTGCGCCAGCACCGCCAGTAACAGAAAATGGTATTGATCCGGAAAAGAAACTGGATCTATTTTCATATGTGAAGGAGAATTTAAACATGCCAAAAATGCTGGAACTCTGGAGTTTGTCTGCACAATTCCCATTCATGCCCGACTTCGCTCCACTAATGAATCAGATGTTTGGCGGCAACGCTGCTGCCAATCCATTTCTACCACCCGGTCTGGACTTAAATAAAAGTATGCAAGCTTCGGCAAACATGGCACCACCTATGCTACCAAATTTGAACTCTCTAATGGCCGATAAGCTAAACACGCATCCAAATACCACATCAGATCCCAATATAATGAATCAAATGTTGCCCACATCCATGATGACGCCACCACCACCGAATACCGGAATGAATATGCCGCGTCACTCGCACATTTCACCCACGGTATTGCCAGGTGGCCCCGTCAAAATGGTCATAAAGAATGGCGTACTAATGCCCAAACAGAAGCAGCGTCGTTACCGCACCGAGCGACCCTTCGCCTGCGAGCATTGCTCCGCGCGTTTCACGCTTCGCTCAAATATGGAGCGACACGTAAAGCAACAACACCCTCAGTACTACGCACAACGTCACCGTACCGGCCACCACAGCATGCGTGGACGCGGCGCCAGCAGCTCAACGGCAATGAACAGCATTTCCCATTTACAAGCGGCAATTGCTCAAGCGCACAATAACGCCACTCAAGCACAAGGCAACGGTCTGGGCGCTTCACCGATATCGGAGCAGGTCAAGTACGCGATACTGGCGCAGCAGCTGAAGGCGCGCAAGGACACCGACTTACTGCAACAAGCCCTGGCGCACGGCTCCAGTAGCATTGCAAATAGCCATCATATGTTGCTGAATGCTGCTGGTGCTGCGCTCGGACCGCTCGGCCCACCAAACGGTCTCCAGTTCCCATTCAATCATTTGGGTCAGCCCACAAACGTTAACGGCACCGCGGAGGATGATGAACCAAAATTGATTATTGACGAAGATGAAGATGATGACGTCGAAGAGATACTAGACGACAACGAAGAAGATGAAGAGTTCCAGTTCTCAAACGAACACTTCGAGAATGTGCGCAAATTTCAAGCGCCAGCACCCGTCGTGGCAGAAGGTAAGACAACAACCCCAACCACCAATGAGTCAAACAATGAGACAGCGAAGAAAGTTGCCGAAACCATACTCGAACAGGCGAAGAAAACTGGTCAAAAACCAAATCAAGCAACCAGCAAACCCAGCTCAAACTTTGCCGCCAAACCCACACCTACTAAGTCAGTTGCATCAACAACAACTCCGGCAGCACCTGCGGCGCCTGTCACGCCAGCCAACACAATGAAAGCCATGATCGCACAAGCCGAGTCGGTGGGCAAGTTTCTGAAAGAGGTCGCCAGTTCACCTTTCAAAGATGAATCGCAAGATCTGGTGCCGGTTGCCAAACTAGTGGACAATGCCACCAGCAACGCCGTTTCATTCAACAATTATTTCCGTCCCAGCGATGTAGCCAATCATATGGAACAAAGTGACGAAGAGGGGCTGGTGGCCTCAGGCAGCGCAAGCGAAAGCAATCACTCCGGCACCGAAGACGTAGCCGCACCAGCGGAGCCGAAAAAGAAATCGGCCTATAGTCTTGCGCCAAACCGTGTCTCATGCCCCTACTGCCAACGCATGTTCCCCTGGTCCAGCTCACTGCGACGCCATATACTAACACACACCGGCCAAAAACCATTCAAATGCTCACACTGTCCGCTGCTCTTCACCACCAAAAGCAATTGTGATCGACATTTGTTGCGCAAACATGGCGACGTAGAGTCAGCGGTGTCGGTCTATGTGCCAACCGAAGATGTCAACGAGCCGATACCAGTGCCAAAATCCGTCGAGGAGATCGAACAACAACAGCGACAACGCGAAGAGGAAGAGCGCAAGCGCAAAGCTGAAGAGGTGAAATTGGAGCGTGAGCGTCGTGAGAAGGAGCAGCGCTTACAGCAGGAGAAGGAACAACAAAATAAACTCTTCAAACAATTGGCTGTCGCACAGCTGCAACAACAGCTCAATGTCTCAATGAGCGCAGCCGCAAATGCGGCCAGCAGCGCAGAGGCCGATGCACGCGCCAAAGAGAATCTCTCACAGCTCAACGCTGATTTGCCATACAAATGTCATTTGTGTGAGAACTCCTTCGCCGAACGCTTCAATTGTCTGGAACACATCAAAAAGCAGCATGCGCCCGAGTTCACATTGCTACTCAGCAAGGGCGCAATCGTCAGCGATGCCGAAGCCAACCAAACACAACTGCTCGAGGACGAGGAACGACGTGTGGGCGAAGAGGCGAACAACTTTGCGCTGCTGCCAAAACTACCGGCCTACACCAATCGCAAAGTAATTTGCGCCTTCTGCGTGCGTCGCTTCTGGTCCACCGAGGATTTGCGCCGACACATGCGCACACACTCGGGCGAACGTCCGTTTCAATGCGAAATCTGTTTGCGCAAATTCACGCTGAAGCACAGCATGCTGCGACACATGAAAAAACATACAAGTCGCGGACAGAATGGAGGTGCCGGTGGCGATGGTGCTTCGGCAATGGCTAACAGTGGCTCGGACTTCTCGGACGATGAACAAATGCCGACACCAACGTCTACGTCTGCATCTGCCTTCACCAGCGCCACTACAGCAACGACGACGACTGCGGCGATAACAGCGACATCTGCAACACAGCGTTCACCCAAAATACATGAGCTGTTGAGCAAAACCAACGAATGGCGCAGCACTCACTTGGCTGGCGAACAAAAGGAGAATATTGCCGAAGAACAACCGAATGGACTACACAACGACCTGATCGGCAATCTGTTGGGCATCAGCGATCAGGGTATACTCAATAAATTGCTCTCGTCGCCCGACGAAGCGGCTAAACTGTTGGGCGTGGAGAAGTAAGCTACCGCGGCAATGGCTGCTTGAGTGCAGTCGGGTTAATGGAAATACGAGAGAACTTTTTTCGATTGCGAGTCAGCTGTAGCTGAGGCAACTATCGGCATTCGCTACGCTGTCTCGATCTAGTCAAAACTCTTAACAAAAAAATTAAAACAAATAAGATGTGTATATTTCTCATTGTAAAAATGAAAGTCGGCTATAAACTTGGAGCCGTTAAGCAGCAAGGCAGCCAGCTAGCGCCAAAATACTTAAATTTTAATTCAAAAAGACGCAGTGTTGCATTTTTGCATGCAACTTTTTGCAGTTAAAAACTAATGGAAAAATATATTGATAGTAGAAAAGTAGCATTGTTTGCTATTTTTCTCAAAAAAACATTTTTTTATAAATGCACCAATTATTAAAGAAAATAACTATTTAAAGATCTTCTGCCAGCTGGCTTAAAGTTCCTAAAATTATTTTCTTACAAAAATGCTTGCAAAAGTCTATTCATAGCATTTTTTATCTGGAAAATATTAGCGGCGCAACTACTAACGGTCAACTGGTACTCGATCTTTGCCTTCAAACTACTACTTACGCTGTTAAAATTAATCGAAAAAAATATTTATTATTATGTAACAACGAAAAATAGACTTAAATATTGATGCTGCTCTGATATTCAAAGCAATTCCAACTGAATTTTATGTACTAGACAATTTTCTAACAACTTTTCTCTATATATACGCCACCACTGTTGCTACTTGTCAAACAAAAATTACATAAGCACTGTTAGCTTTTAAGCATTACATTATAATTACTTGAATTATTTGTAATGAATATTTGTAATTATAACAATTTTAATTACTTTAAAGCACAAAAGTGCAATTTAATCATAAAAAGACAAATGTCCCCACAAAAGATATACCAAAGCTTTTCTATATAAAAACATTGTAAAATATTATTCATAGAAAATCGAAAGCAAAGATTGTTGTTGCACTTTCAGCAAAACTTATTATATACAAATACATACATACATATATATATATATATATATGTAAGTCATTTATTGTCTCAATTATTGTAATTTTACACGTTTTAATAGACTTTTGCCTAATTTTGAGGTTATGCTTGACAAAACAAAAGACTTAAATCTAAAGAGTAGCCTAGTTAAATACATATTAAATATATACAAATAAGAAATATGATTAAGCAACGAATAACTGTAAAATGCCTTCAATACAATTGATATGTACTTAATATAATACCTAATTAAAGGAATCTATTATAAATAACTATAAATAATATTAGTTTTTTTTTTTGGTTTTGAATTATGAAACACTTGAATTACAATTTTGTAAATTTGGGTGAGGCCTTCAAACCGCAAAGTGGCTTATAAAATATTATATTTAAATAGTTAACAAAAACAAAAATACAAACTTAAAGTACTTAAACTAATGTTAATTAAAAAGTATTTAGCTGCATGAAAATATCTAAGAATCAATTAAATCTAATATTAAATGTCGCTTTGTAGTTGTTAGTATTGATAATATTGATGTTATATTTTCGATTTTTGCTTTACATGCATGCGTATGTAATTTTTATATATTTATTCTAAATTATAAGAAGAGTGAATTTGGAAAATATGGCCTTAAATTACTCAATAAAAAGTAAAAGTCTAATAAAAAAAAACTATATACAGCAATAACCAAAGTATTCTTTTGTCAAAAACTTATTAGAATTTACAAAACCATATATCTGAGGTTATATAAATCAGAGTTTGAATAAAATATATATTTAAGTTTAAGCTAAAATTAAATAAATACTTGAAATTGTAATTTACGCAAAGAAAAACTTCAATAAAGTACTTAATAAAATTATTTGAAAAGAACGAAAAAATTTGTGGATTTTTATTAAATTTACTGATAATTTAAGCCATATATGGTACATAGGACCGTAGAGAGACATTATTTGTGTGTGTACATTTAACAGTGGTCAGCAATCTTACACATTTAAACGATTTGAAAAAAATGCAAATCAAAATCCAAATTTTGGGACTAAAATTTAAATTTTCAATTATTAATTAAAATTTTGAGCATTTTGGATTAAAACTTAAATCGTCCCACAGTTGCAAATCTAATTTTTAATTAAAAAAATTAATTAAAATTTTTATAATTTTAATTAAAACATTCGCAACCCTGATAAATGTTCATTTAGTTGTGATATTTAAAACAAGTAAACACTATTTTTTTTTCTTCAATTTAATTTCTTTGAATTTTTAATATCCTTCACCATAGAATGTTATTTAAATATAATTAACAGAAGCATAAATGAAAATTCATTTACATTCTCTGTTAACATTATCTGTCTGTTCTAACGTTTTAAGAGCTGTGGAGCTAAACATAATTGTCGATAACAAAATATCGGTTTAGACTACGAAATATTTCTAATAAGAAGAAATACCGAAAGTGATGCTAACACTAAACTAATTTACAATTAAATTAAAATAAATTTCTTGAACTAACATGTATCAATTATACTACACCTATTATGTAAACAATAAAATACTTCTTTCTTATAAACGTATGCCTGATAACTCAATCGCCAATTGTTGCATTTAGCGTTAATACCATCACTAACGCACAACAGCTGTTTTTGTTTGTCCTCGCCGGTTTTTTATTTTGCAGTGATATCATCATCGTGTACATATTTGTGTTTATTTTTTTTAACAATTTTGAGTGAAATTTGGCAAACGTTGAGTTACTTTTATGGTTACCAATCTACTTAATAGCATTGCGTCCTTAGTTTTTAAACGCACTTTATCCAAAATGCCCCGCGGAAGAACATTGGAAGACGTCGTATTGGAGTTGGAGAAATTCGCGCCACGCAATTTGGCCGAGAAATGGGACAATGTTGGTCTCCTCATCGAGCCTTATAATGAAAGGTATTATACAGTGTTTCATATAATTTTTTGTACTCAATATATATGATATGCTATGTATTTCTCTTTAAGGCATATATGCAAAATTCTGTTAACCAATGATTTGACGGAGAATGTCATGCAAGAAGCTGTCGATCTAGGCACTGACCTAATTGTCTCTTATCATCCGCCAATATTTGCACCACTTAAACGCATTACACAAAAGTAAGTTGACACAAATTGATTGCTTAGCATCAGTTATAACAAGAACTTATTTGCTTTCTATAGAAACTGGAAGGAACGCATCGTTTCCATATGCTTGGCTGAGGGCATTGCTTTATACTCGCCGCACACAGCTTGGGATGCAGTTCCTGGTGGCGTGAACGATTGGCTTTCCTCTGCATTGCCGTGCGTTGATATGCAGCCAATTCAGGTAGGTGTATTTTGTGAAACTACCTACAACACCGGAGGGGGAGTGTTTATTTTATTATTACTAAAAAATAGTAAACTTTAAATCAATGTGTGCTGCTGTGAAGTGTTTACAGCCATTGCAAATTGCAGTAAAATGTGTTGCTCTTATTATTCTGACTCATTTAACAGTAATATTTATATTTCGTGTTGTGTATGCCGGATTCTATGTGCTTTCATTTTCAATGAAAATTATGCTCGTACCTATACATTTTACTTTTTTTGGAGTAAAACCACTCATTTTAAGTGAGCGTATATTTCATTCTCTACTCACATTGCAAAAACAAATATTGTCTTTTCACATTCTTGGTTAAATCTAAATAAAAATAAATATAAGAAATTTCACATTACAATTTTTATCCAAAAACAATAGTGTATACGTACATGCGGACGGCTATTTATTGCCACTCATTTCTATAGATAATACAAAATGTACTTTAGCTTGTTGAAAAGGCATAATATCAGTTTTAATTATCAAAATATATATGACTTACTAAACCGATAAATAAGTGAAGTCATATAGAAAAAACACACATATATATATGTATAAATATGTACATATATAAATAATTACAAAGTGTTACTTTTTTATTTTATAAAAATTACTTAAAATCTAAATTTATTGAATTTTTTTGCTTGCATTTTAAAAATAAATGCAACAACTTTTAAAACTTTACAACAAGTTAATGACAAAAACAACTATTTAACCTAAAATATATTCTGATCACAAACGATGGACGCAATTCACTGTGGATACTTAGAATTCGCTTTCTCCATGCTATTCTCCATAAAAGATACCATCTCACTTTCTTTGGCTTCTATTACGTTTGCTTCGGCATCCACTGATTTCTCACGCTTGCGACAAAAGCACAATTTCAGAAAATAGATTAGTAGCAAAGGCAATGGCGTCACCATAGAATTAGCCATTGGCACTGCACTCGTCATATCGGCCTGCGGCTGTGGCAATGTGAAGTTCAACATAAAAATCGCAATGCCAATATTCTGTATGCCCGTCTCAATGGCAATAGTGATAGCGTCTTTAGGCGGCTGACGCAAAACTGTAGCTATAAGCCAGCCAATAACATAGCCCAACCATGGCAGAATGCAACTGCCGATAAGAATCTGTGAAGCATATATACCAATAATAAAGTTTAAAATATATTTTCTTATATATCTATGTGTAAACGCAATCAATAGCACGCTTACCTTCGTTGTGAACAGTTTCCACATATACGAATTAAGCACACAGCCGAAAATCGTTATCGCCAATATAAGCACCAATGAAATGGGTTTGAGCAACTTGGACATCTTCTTAGTCACCTCCGGTGCATACTTTTGCAGCATAACGCCGATAGCAATTGGCACAACCAAAGTGCAAGAGACCGAGGCTATCGATTTGTAGGGGATGGCAAAATTGCCATCGCGGAATATCAAAGCGCCCAATGTAAATATCCACAATGGCATCATGCCGAACGCCGCTAAATTGCTAATGGCGGTCATTGTGATCGATAAGCTGAGATTGCCATTCAACAGCACCGCAAATATATTCGACGAACCGCCCGCTGGTGACACGCCCAAAAAAAACAAGCCCAAACGTAATTCGATCATTTCGCGAAACAGAAAGTAACCAATGACAAAACTGAGCACCGGCATCACTAAAAATTGACAAAATAAGCCAATCGCCGGTCCAACTGGTCGTATAACTATGCGCTTCAAATCCTCCAAATCCAAAACGGCGCCAAAGTTCACATAAATCACCATCACAAAGCAGGCAATAGAAATATTGAAAATGATATCGGCCAAATTCATGGAGCGTGTCACAATAACTCTCAAAACCTCCTGTGAGCGTGCCGTTTCATAGCCAGCGCGTCGCAACGCCACATAAACGTGCGTATAACCCAAAAGCGTTGCATGCAAAGTGAAATTACCTTTGACCTTTGCAACGCCATTCGCATTGCTTAACACCGTCTCCACTTCGTCTATGTAGGCGACATCGTCGTTAAAATTCAACACACGAAATTCGAAATCATTTCCCAAAGCCGGTTCAACGGCCGTGATAACGAACGAAACTTTTTGCGCGTTTCGCATTGTCATATTTAACTGTTCATATTCAAATTGCACAGCCCAAAGTGGTGTCTGCAAGTGATCTTTATCAACTGCATTTACCGCACCGCTGACCGCATGCGCCGCGCTGATTATGGCCAACACCACGTAACGCAGCCGCATTTTCACTTTTATTTGTTGTTCTTGTTGTTTTTCTTAAGCAATTTTGATTTTTCGCGTTTACGCCAACGCAGCAAGCAAGTGTTCACCGTCGCAAGATCGCTTAATGAATAACTTGTTAATTGATCAGTTCAAAATTTAGTATCGTTGATTCTTTTAGTCGGCGCAACGGCCACAACCACCTTCATGTATACGTGTATGTTTATTTGTATGTGTGGATTATTTAATCATTGTTGTGGTTTAACTTTTTCCGATAACTTTACAGCTTTGTCGTCTTACTAACTACCAATTGGCTCTTAGTTTATAAACATTCATAAATACATTTGCCGTTACACGCGCACTTTGGTTGTATTCAAATATTTATGGCGCATGCTTTTGCAAATGTAATCTGAAAATAGGGTGTTATGAATTTTAATTCCATTTATGTTATCAAATGTTTATTTTTACAAACACATTATAAATATGTATGTACCCACATGTACATACCTATGTACATGCATACAGCAAATAATTTTTCTAAAATGTATAAATTTTTCCTCTCCAAATCTCAAATTTATAAAAGTTTCCGTGCTCGTTCTCTTAGCTTTTCTTAATGATAACTGTTTCATTGTCACTCTCTATGGCCGTAACTTCATGAGAGTCTTATCAAATAATCTCACTACTTAGCATTATCAATAAACCACAATCTCAATCAATATTAAATTTACTATTGCTTATTAGTTGCAAAAATAAGTTCAATAGCGATCAGAGAGCAAATATAAATTTGTAAAAAAAATATCGCATAATCTTCAAAAACTATAATGTGCAGTCAAAAGCGCTATACGAAAAATCTTAATCCTTGTTGTCCTTACTTAAAAAAAAACCCCATTTCCAACTTTATAATTCTTTTGTAAGTTTATGCAATACCTGATCAAATTTGATCCGGACCGATAAAAAAAAACTAAATTTTCACGTATTTTATTATCACATAGAAAATGAGCTGCTTTTAAGCCAATACAAGCTTGCCAACGTTTAATCCGATTCTCCATACACTTGTTATAAGTCTCGGCTGGGATGGCCTTCAGTGCCTTCAACGAATTTTGGTTTCTTCAGTTTCAGCTCACACCAATATTAAATTTAGAGAAAGAAATTTTATCGATCGATATTATCCGGTTCAAATTTGATCGAAGGGTATAACATATGTATGTAGCAATATTTTAGTTTTAAGACTGCTTAATTTTCTACAATTATTTCTAAGTTTTGAACGAAAACACGTTTTAAGTACTTTATTGTTTATTTCACTTCAACATGTCTTTTTCGTATTGTACAACACTGTTTTTGATACAGTCTTATTTTGTTTATCATTCATTTTAATTTTACTTGTTATGCAATAATTTTCACTTGTTTATTTTTATTTACACAAAAAAAATTACTGAAAAATGTAGCGTAATTTTAACGCACGAAAACACTTAGTTACTGTTGACGCTGTGTTGACACTACAAACATAATTTCAATTTATTTAACTTAAATTCAGATCTGCATCTCTTTAACGCAGAACCAGACACCGCCGCTCTCAGTGCACTTTTGCAACTGCATATCAAACCTGTTAGTTTTCTATTTTAATAAAATCTGCAAATAAAGTAAAGCTCGACTTAAATTTTTTAAAAGTGCATGTGTGAGCGTGTGTATATAAAGAAAGCTTAATAGAAATAAATATTAAAATTTATCTAATTTTTTTTTTATAATATTCCATAACAACGCTACTTTGCTAAAAGTTATACCACTCACTTATAATTCTATCAAGTGTACATTCAAGTGTACAATGTATAAGTCAATTACCCAAATAGTTTACCTCTTCGCTTACTTATAATCTAAACTAGACTAGACTTTCCGTTACTTATTGCAGACACATTTATTTAATCACCACGTATTAATTGAGGGTCGAACTTTGTTCCAGCAAGCAAAAAAAAAACCATACATAACAGGTTTGCTAAATGCCGTACAAACCATTTGAGCACCAAAGAGCATGGACAAGACCTCCAAAAGCGGCTATTACCGAAAAAACCATCAAAAAACTACGTAAATTTTCTTGGATAACACCCTATAGATATCAAAAAAACATGTTGTTTATATCGTTCAGGACTATTTTGCTATGCATAAGCTCTGCTTTAGTATCAGAGACGATACCAAATTGCATGAATTGCGTTTCGAGCTGTTGTCATATTGTTCGAATCTGGTCCCCAGCAGATTTCTCTGTTCTCAGAACTCAAGAGAAAAAACTGGAAGAAAATTTGGTAACAATGAAAGAGCAAGTGCCGAGACTCAAGCCTATTTTGGGACAATAGTTAAATCGTACTACAAAAATGGTCTCGAAAAGCGTAAATATCGCTAAATCAGGCTCTCGGTTTCAACTTTGTTGAATAATCAATTCGAAGTTTGACAAAAAAAAATTATTTTTTTTCAAAAACAAAATTCAATTTTTCCGCTGGCTTGCTACAATTTATAAGTATTTACATTATCAAACGATTCAGTCAGTGGAATATAAACGACCCCCTTTTATTTACTTTATTATTAATATATATATATATATATTGTATCATATACCTACTGGGCATAGCCAAACTAGCGATTTTATAAATTAATCAAGTTTATGCACCAGCTGATAATGAAAGAAAAGCTCGCAATTTTTTTGCCAAGCGTGTTATATATTTTTACACCATTGATTGAAATGCAATTAGATGCATATAATTGTTTGTTTCTTAAAGCCAGCGTAGTAAAATTTTAAAAGCTTTTAAGGGGAGCGGGAAAAGTGCAATAAATTAAAATTCATTTCATTCTCGGAATGTTTGAAATCCAAACGAAGTGCGTTTTACGTCACACAACTAAAAAATGTATTAAAGGAGGGACTCACGAAAGGTATTTTGTAGTATTTTTTTTTAACTGTTCGGCAGCACCGAAACTATAATACCCTTCATAGATTGATTGCTTATAGCAGGGTATTAAAAGAGCCTTATCTAAATTTTGAACGGTCAGTATAGCGGCTATATGCTGAAGTGGTCCGATATCTTCGATTTCGAGAAGTGAGTAGCTCCTTGGGACTAGTTCGCGTATATACAGTCGGACGGACGAACAGACTGACACGTAGACCACTCATATACATACATATATAGTTTATAAGGTCACGTTTCCTTCTGGGTGTTATAAAGTTCTTGGCAAACTCAGTATAGCCTGTTCAGTATAACAATTTGTCAGTATCATTTTAGACAATAGCTGTTTCTAAAATGTTTATTAAACTTTTTCTCAGCTGATTGATTGGGTGTTTTCTGTTAATTGTAGTTAGAGTGATGATTATGATTTTAAGGTTTAAGAGCTTTTCTGACTTTTTATAAAATCATTTTTCATTTCAGAAAAGCGTTCGAAATTTTTTAATAGCTGCCTGGTTGTGACAGTTATTGAGAAATATTTTGCTATAATTTGAGCTTCTGTAATACGTGAAACTTGAATACCATGTTAGTTCCTGCGAAAACACTACTTTCTTATTTCTGCCGTATTTCATATTTCCCTTTCTGATTCCGAAAAATAAGTATAAAATAAATGTCGAACTTTTATCAGATTCCTATTTAATATGACTGTAAATGCTATGTACTAGGGTCGCTATTTACATTTCTGAATTAAGAAAAAATTAATATTGATTACATTTTTTTGCTTTCAAAAGAGTCTCCAGATCTTGAAGACACATTTATAAAGATTTGAGCTAACATTTTTTAGGCACTTTGTATGAAGAATCTAGCAAATATGCATTAATTTTACCAAAAACAATTTTTAAAGTCGCTTCAATGTGCTTCTGAATGCACTTAGAGTTACATACCATCTGATCAAATTTGACCCGGACAGACAATCTCCAAACTTCATTTTTATGGATTTTAATACAAACGTATTATTGCGTTCAAAATAAGCTCTTGAACCAATACAAGTATGCCAACGGTTAAACCAATTTTCCATACACTTGTTATAAGCCTTCGGTCGAAATATTCATAAGCCCACCGTGACCTCTATTCGTCGTCGTTTTTGTAAAAGTTTTAGTTCTTTTTGTACGAGTGTAGCATTTATATAATATTAGCCAAAATGAGTTGAGTCGCTCTGCTATCTTTCTGATTCCAAAACGATAATTTTCAAGCTGCCTTAACATTTTCGTTGTTATCGTCATTAACAGAGATGGATGAACAAATTGCATGCGGCGAGTTTTAGGTGACTCACGATCTTCACTGAATGCTTTGTGTTACTCAAATACTTGGGCTCGTGTTAAATTAGACTCATCAAAACACTTCTGCTACATTTTCAACTATTCCGTAGCCGTGATTTCATTAGAAACGCAAAATTTCAAGCAGACTCGTTGTTAAATTTTTTTCGACTTATAAATCGCCGGGGAAACCTTCCGCGTTGTAAATAAGCTGCCAAACTCAAAATAATTTTTTATCAACTCGATTTGCGCGCGGTTTAAATGGATCAGTCCGTAACCAATTTAATTAGATGGTATATTAAACTATCCATTTAATAACGTCAAAGTTCCCATGAACAATAATATTGGAAGCAACCCTTGTATTTTGAAATTCATTTTAGAAGCGAAAAATGTAAACAAATTGTAATTACATCTATGCATGTTAATTTGTTTCGCAGAACATTTTATAATTATTTCAAATGCATTTCCTTTAGTTTTTCTCATTTGCATATACATATGTATGCTCCGAATTCAAGGAACTAATGTACAGCATTCTCCAGCTAACTATTATGAAGCTGTGCAACCTATGAACATATAAATAAATATTTTTCATATAAATATTCTCCAGTTTATGTAAATTTCATGACTGAACAATAAAACTAAAATATCGCTCACAGTTCTAAAGTGTTTATTTGTTAAATGTATATTTTTTGTTTTCCCTTTTAATGCGGTTAGCGTGGGGTAGTAATATAATATTACTTCAAAAATAGGCCATAATATAATAGTTTTCAATTCGCCACTTCTCACATAACTTAGCAACAATAGAGTTGTCTCTCCTCTGCTCGCTAACTTTGAGCTCTGCTATCTTGTAATGTAAATACAAAAGAGGTTGTATATATAATATACATATACTTCTCTCTCGCTCTCTCACTTTGTATTATGCGAGTCTATATGATTTTTACTATTTGTTTGTTCTATTCGCCACTCTCCAAGCTCTGTTGAAGTGAAAACAGCTATTAAGAACTAATAAATAATCAGTAAGATCAATTAAGCGTGATTTACTGTATGCTTCTCATTGTCATTAACAAATGTAACAAATAATTGCTACGTTAACATTTATACTAAAAGTGCCAACATGATCACACCTATTTTTAATACTTCTACGGAAAATATGCGTTTTAGTTTTGAATTACTTATTTTTATTACAACAATATGTTTATAATTTGTACGAGGTATAGCACTTAGCTCTAATGTACTAAATTCTTTACAATTATCACAGCAAGCTAACTTCTAGTTCCCTGGTACATTTGTGCTGAAAATCTTTTTACCTAAAAACTTATTAATAGTGTAGAAAGTTTTGGATGAAAGTCTTTGGCTAGACTTTTCTTTCCGTTCTCTGGCACTCATACACAAAATAACAATTTTACTCGTTACAAATTTCTGTTCAAAATCGTTAAAATTGTTTTAAAGCGATAGTTAGTTTTAGTTTTCAATTATTAATTTTAATAAAAGTTCTATTTAAATAGCGGATTTCGACTCGGCTAATCGATTTACCATATATCTCTCGCTCTCTAATCCTTGTTATTTTGATCAATGAACGCACGTCTGAACTACCAACTTGTGTCTTCAACGAAAATATTAGCGAAGAGGATTTATACAGGTTGGTTAAAAAGTTGGATCTCTCACCAAAAAATAGCACTACTAGCTCCAAATTTTTTTTCTCAAGTTGGTACATCTGCCGTGAAAACACATTACACAAGTTACAAGTTATACTGTCAATTAATTCTTTGTTTACAAGCCATTTGAAGTTGACGTGTCAGAGTATTTTTTTAATATGGAAAAAATTGAAAATCACGCAATGATTAGATTCTTTGTTTTGAAAGATTTAAAAGCAAAGGAAATTTATGAACAATAGTTGGAAGTGTATAAGGAGTGCTCACCTTCAAAACGCAGCGTTGAAATTTGGGCTGGTAAAATTTAAACATGGTTGTACTAGGTTTGAAAGCGATCCACCAGAAATCATTGAGCAAGTTCAAAATAAATATTGTTAGTGAAGATCCCAGTTTGCCTAAGCGTGGAATTGCTTATGCCATAGGCATCTCAGACAAACGACTACTTCATATTTTACATGGAGAATTACATATGAAAAAGCTTTTTGGAAAGTTAATACGAGTCGTTCCTCCATCTCTGGCATCAGAGAGATAATATCTCAACTTTGGTTAATATTTTCAGTATGAAGTGTGTCAAGGCTAGACTCCTACCAAAAGACCTGATTATTTTTTAAATGCGATAATAAAGACTTGTATTTAAATACGTAAAAATACGTTTTTTTTGTCAGTCCGGGTCAAATTGATCAGCCGGTATTGTTGAAAAATTATGTTTAAAGGACTTATAAAACTTATAGTCGATATTATCCAAACTACAGTATTCCTATGGCACTTATTTATACACAAAATTTATATAAAATATGTTTAATCTTTTATTATTTTTGTTTTTAATCGTTTTCACTACTTAAGTGTAAACACTTTATACAGAAATTGTTTTTGCGTATAAAAATCGATTATCGATACTTATGGTGAATTCTATATATATAGCTATAATTAAAAAACTCATATCTACTTGTACATTAATTTAATCGTATAAATATTGCCTCAAACTGTCTGGGCCGTTTTTACGTTCAACTCAGACAAGTTCGATAATAATCTCGACATTGGTTGCATTGAAGTACCGTTCATTAGCGCAAGTCGATTGCGTTAGACTAAACGGAAATTCAATCGTAAATTTTGAACTCGCAACTTATCGCAAGTTTTGTTTACAAAAATAAAAATTTCGCTGCTTAAATTATTTTTGATTTGATAATAATCTAAAAATATATATGTGGTCTAACTTGTTCAACTGTTATAATTCGCTTTTCTCATTTCGAAATGATATATGTGAAACTGTGACTTCCGCCTTAATATTTTCGTCGAAACTTACGAGCTCCACTTTTGACGCGAAAACATCACCATCAATGTTCTTATTCCAACCGAAAATTCGACGAATGGTATAAATGACAATCATCATTGCCAAGGAAATGAGAGCAGCCGTAATTGGCACTATAAGCGTCATGTCGGCTCTCACTTCGTCGAAGCAATGTTGCAGCAACATAATTGGCACGGTCATATTTAAGACACTCGTCTCGATGGAGATCGTCAGCGCGTCTGCTGCGGAACAACGAAGCAACTTTGATATGCCATAAGAGAGAATACAACCACATATGGGCAAGAAGAGAGCCGCTAAGAAAATCTGAAAAAATAATCAAACTTATTAGACACCAAATAACTTAATTAAGTCTCTAATTATATGCTTACCATTCCGGTTAGTTCTTTGAAAGCAAACGCATTTATGCCCACCGTCATGGCAATCAGACACAAACTGAGGCACGCGCAGAACGGCTTGAGGAATCGGAATATCAACGATGTCGTCTTCGGCAAAAAGACACGCGACAGCATACCCAAAGCGATGGCGCAGACCAATGCTGTAGCGCTGCCGGCGAGATCCAGAAACGGTACATCCAGTTCGGTGTTTGTGAAGATCGTTCGCATCAGAATAAGTATCCACAGCGGGAATATTGCCAACGACATAAGACTGTTGATCGTTGTGGTGGCAATCGAGAGATTTACATTACCTTTGAGAAAAATCGCGCAAATATTCGCCAAACCGCCGCTGGGCGACAGTGCTGTGAAGAAAAGCGCCAAATGCAGTTCTTGATGTTTGGACAGGAAACAGTAGCCGATTGCAATAGCCAGAAGTGGCATTAAAATATAACTGGTACAAAAGCCGATGGTCACAGCAATCGGCCGCAACATAATCGCCTTCAATCGTTCCAAATCCAGCACGCCGCCCAAATTCAGAAACATCAACAACAACAGCGCCGAGGCGGTATAAGTGAAAATTTTCTCATCCAAACGGTCTTTGCGCGCTATGATTAGCGTTAGGTCGCTGGGCGAACGCTCCACGACGCCATCGCTTGAGTTTAGTGTTACATAAATAGTTGTAAAGCCGAAGTGACGTGTTTGTACCGGCACTTGGCCTTGCCATGAGGCTGGCGCACCAGCTAACTCACTTCGTTCAATGCGTTTTTCGATCAACGCCAATTTCGGATCGCCAGCGTGCACTTCGAAATGAAAGTCTTCTCCAGAAGTTAGATCCACATTGAGTATTACTAAATTTACATACTGTATGTCTTTCGAAATGGTTAGGAGTTGTTCGTTGCCACCACCCTGGTAGGTAATATCCCACGCGCCTGCGATTTCTCCATATTGTCCTTGAACCTCACCGTAACACTTCGGTATGGCAAAACAAATAACGACCATAAATATGAGCCGTGAGCAGTTAAGAGTAGCGACTTGTTTCATGTTGTTTTCACTTAGAAATGAGCTCTCACAATAATCGCAGACGTTTTGTATACCTTATCGAGCGTCAAAATCCTAAGAATCATTGAACCATTTTTTTTTTATGAATGTACATAAACCGACTTATATATGACATGTGTGGTGTTACATAGTACAAGCTTGCCAATAAATATCTGCAAGAGGGGCCTTGATGGCTAAATGTTCCCCGCTCTAATCGACTATAGATTAGGCTTTGACTGATACCAAGCGATTTGTTGGCGAAATGTAATTCTATCGCGTTTTTGTATTTATTAGCGCTAGATTGAGTATTTTCTATTTTCAATTGTTGTGACGTCAGAGAGTCGTGTGTCGTCTTCAAATGAGTCACAGTCTGGTTAATGAACTCATGTCGTCGAAACGTATTTTTTGATCCTGAAAAAACTTTTTAACAGAGTGATACTCTTATTTCCGCTATATCACTCAATTTTATAGGATTTAGAGGAAGTGTACATAAAAATGAGATCCAGTTACAATAAATCTTAAACATTGCATTAAAAATTAGACAATTAAAACTAAGGACTTTAATAAATTCACTCTCTCTATCCACGAACTTAAAGTCGTACTCTTGTATATTTATACAAAAATCAAATCGTATTTGTAAATAGGAAAAGCAGGAACATTATCAATTCTCGTGTGTACGTCCCATGAGAGATCGAACAAAATTATTAAGCTCCATTTTTGTCTGTAGATTAATGATTTTCCTGAAGCATAAAATGCCATTTCTAACCTGAAAAAGGTATCATGAAAATCCGTTAATGACGAGAACGATGTGAAGTTTCTATAAACATATATTTCTCCATCGAATCTAGAAGTCTACCACAGAGAACAAATAAATGTACAACCAATTTTTCCTCAACGTTTTCAAACTCCTTTTCTCTTACATTTAAATAAATTTTAACGTACGGACGCCCATGACTGGCTCCAACGATAACAACGTTTCTTTAAGTACCATGTCTGGTTAGAAAATACAATAGTAAAATCCAGTAGCAGGTGTAAACATGTCACGGTATTTTTGTCTATACATCCAAAATTATATACATAGGTACAGTTATCTGTATGTTAATTAATTTATCGCCGAGATTAATTTTTAAATAATTTATTGCACTTATTTTATCAATTCTACGTATGAACACACATATGGATTGCTGTTTTTCTGTTCTGAGTAATATTCGTATTTGAGTACGAGAGTTACTCATGTCGCCCGTTATTTGGATTGTTTTTCAAAGTTTGTTTACAATAATTTGCCCATAGTAAGCAGAGAAATCTGAATCATAAATTGCTCTTTCAATTTTGAGGACAAACAACCGGAAATGTTTATTATTTATACTTGCAAATATCCATCCCACTACTCTGCGACGTATAGTATATCCACTTGAAGAGCAAAACATGCTTCGTTAGACTTTAGATTTGATAGACATTGCTCAATAGAATTTTGATAATCGAGGTAACCGCAATTAGAAAAGAAGGTTTTTGATATTAAGCGGACCTAACTAAAAGTTATTGTCATTCGTATGATTGTTGCTGTTGTTAGTTAAGTTATACAAGTCATACAATTGCTTAATTTTGGAGTTGAGTTAAGGATGGACGTACCATGAAATGAAATGATGTGCTTCGAATCCGTTCTAACGGCAGTCGCTTGCACATAACCGGAACGGACCCGGTTTTTTAAACGACAAAGAACTGAAAATTCGGTATCATTCTTGCAAATATTTTCTGCTGCTACAACCGTTAGGTCTACGCAACCGAGACCGATTCAGATTTTTATTTAATGCCAATTATTGCCATAAAGTATCTAATCACAAATTTCATACATACGAAGGTGGTCCAATAAGTACTTAGCTTACGAAAGAAAAACATTTTATTTTTTGGCAGTTGGCGATTTATCTCTCAACATAGCTTTTTAATGCGATACACTTGACCCATCGATGATCCAACTTCATTAACCCGTCTGATAAATACATTTTATGGTATGCTGAAGGTGTTCCGCCAAGGCGGAGATAACCTCCTCACAGAATCCAACAGAAATTTCTGCCGGTGAGTGACTTTTTCAAGATTGGAATCAAAATAAAGTCAAACGGCACAAAATCTGGGAAATACGGTGGAAGGGGTAACAGTTCGTTGCCTAATTATATAAATTTGGAGATGTGTGCCGGTACATTGTCATGGTAGAAGAGTATTTTTCTTCAGGTACTCAACGTAGATTTTGTGAATTCCGTCACCTTTCCGGCCGATGGGACAGTCTTTGCCTACTTCGACACAGATTCGCCTAATGATATTATAGGCTAATTATACATTGGCATAAGCACAACTTTTGTCTGGTTCAAATGCGATTTTTAAGCAAAAAAATTAAATCTAGAGCTAATAAAAAAACAAAAAGTAAATAGGTTGTAAAGAAATTAATCATTAGGTTAGAAAAACTAATAAAATCGAAACAGTTGCTTCATCTACTTCAAACTGTGTTAATAAAAGAACATTTCAATATGAATACGTACGAATGCACCATTCCGATTGCAACTCTGATTGAATTGTTTTGTGCAAATAAGTTTTTCTTGCGACTGGCAACACTAAAAATTTTCATTAAAGCGGTGTGTATGACAGATCTTTCACAAAACGCCAAAAATTCGGCAGATAATCGTTTATTATTCGTTGCTATTTCTAAAAAATTAAGCAGCCATGGTAAGTTGTAAAAAAATCAATTGAAAATATATTCATTTAAAATGTTAACAATTTACAGACGATTGGAAAAAATAATAAAATGATCCAGCACCTTAACTATAGGGTGCGGATCATGCTGCAAGACTCGCGCACTTTTATTGGCACATTCAAAGCATTCGACAAACACATGAATTTAATACTTGGAGATTGTGAAGAATTTCGTAAAATCCGTTCGAAGAACTCAAAAGTGCCAGAACGTGAAGAGAAACGAGTTTTAGGTTTTGTGCTATTACGTGGAGATAATATAGTCTCACTGACCGTCGAGGGACCACCCCCACCAGAGGAGGGACTACCGCGTGTACCCATGCCCGGTGCTGTTGCCGGTCCTGGTTTAGGACGTGCTGCTGGACGTGGTGTGCCGGTTAATATTGCTTCGGCACCGGCCGGTTTACAAGGACCTGTGAGAGGTGTAGGCGGTCCAGCGCAACAACATATGACGCCAATGGGTAGAGGCGTACCAAGAAATCCCATGATTGGTGCACCCTTACCCGGTATGGTGCCCGGCGTAATGCCACCAATGCCTGGTGGTATGGGTCGTGGTGGCCCACCACTACGTGGACCGCCACCCGGCATGATGCGCGCTCCACCACCGGGACGTGGAGGTTATTAATTTTATTCATATGTATTTCCGATTAAAAAAGTATATTTTACCTAAATAAATAAATATAAAAAATGAATTATGTAAACATTATGTGTAATATTTTTGTTTTTGTTAATATTGGTATAAGGTTTCTGGCAGCTCAAATAAGCAAAGTTGCTATCTTTTAAGAAATTGCAAGTTATTAAAATGAGTTAAATTTCAATTGTTTATGTTTTCAGCCTAATCCCTTGGGTGGTGAATTTGGTGGCGCGGGACGTACATTCACCACATCGCTGACTTTGGATCAGGCCGTGGCTAGCGTTCAGCGGCACATTGGTCTCGATGTACAGTTATCATTGGGTATAAATCATAACCTCGATACACCAATTACTGTTGTGGCGGTTTGTGCTGGTTCTGGCGCGTCTGTACTTAAAGGCTTCGAAGCGGATCTTTACATTACAGGCGAAATGTCGCATCACGATTTACTGGATGCAAGCCATCAAAACGTTTCCGTGATCTTGTGCAATCATAGCAACTCCGAACGCGGTTTTCTACATAAATTCGAGACCAAACTCTACAATATGCTAAAGGGTGACTGTGAAGTGAATATTTCCGAAAAGGACAAGGACCCCTTAAAAACAATCGTTAAAACCTAAAGTTCGACGATAATGATTCACAGAGGCATTTACTGAAAAGTTGCATTTTTTTGGTGTTTTTCGATTGAAAATTTATTTTAAAAGTCTAAAATTCCTTTATTAAGTTTTTATTTTGTATTGTTTATATTAATGCAAAGTGTAAGAGTAGCATTTGCTGCTTTATTTACTGCCTTTAAATAAAAATTTTTGCAAAGCTTTAGAAAAAGACATTTGAATATTATGGGATTTGGATAAAAACGTGACGTGGCAAATAATTTTTGTAAAATTTATAGGCAGAATAAAAACTAACATTTTTTTGCTGTGTAAATCAAATCTATTTTAGCGACTAGTTTAAACTCTTACCATTTATTTTTGATTTTTTCCAATAAGTTAAGAAACAACCAATGTCAGCTTAGATTAAATAAAAATATTTCATTTTTTATCTTTTAAATTATAGCAACAGTGAAAATTTGTTTTCGTGCTAAGTAGAATTGGCATACAATGGGATAGAAGTAGTAAAATTTTTACAGTTTACAGTACATTTAAAATGAGTTTTTCATAGCTTACGCACACAAAAATTAAATGCATTTTTTTTTGTTTAAATTACCTTCCTACACAAAGCGTATATGTAAATATTTGTATCTTACGGCAATAGTGGCGAGCAAGTCATAAAAAACGAATGTTTGCCATTTTATTTTTAAATTGAAAAAAAAAATTATTAGAAATTAGAAAGTTAAAAGCGTGTGAGGAATTATCAATTTATAAATATAGATTGTTAATGTAGACTGTGTGAAAATTATTTATAGATAACAGTACTGTCTTGTCATTTTTTTACTTAAATATACATATTTGTAGTATTACAAGTTATATAAACATAATACAAAACGCAGCTGTAGGTATAACTTGAATGCTAACAATATTAATTTTTTTCCATAATTTTTTTTTGGCCCTTGCTACTACTGTGTGCTCTTTGTAAGTTTCTGTAATACTTTAAGTCCTTGTTCTTGATACTCTTGCTTCGACATCCAAAAACCATCGCGATCCTTTGTCACTTCAGCCAAAACAGCGCCACCAATAAAGACCATATCTTTTCGTCGTGGTGGATCTTCGATACGAATTTTGAATTTCTGCAAAATAAAAAAAAATGTATAATTCAGATTTGTTACGTTTTTTATTTTATTTTATTTTAATTTTATTTTTTTATTTTATTTTTATTTATAATTTTTTTTTTTTTTATTATATTTTATTTTATTTATTTATTTTATTTATTTATTTATTTTATTTTATTTTATTTATTTATTTTATTTTATTTTATTT